GAATTCTTTGAGCTGTGAACTGCATAAAATGTCGTCATCAGTAGACAAATGACAGCTTGTTTAACCAAATGAAACTATTCTTCTGATGGTGCAGAACTTTAGAATCAGTTTGCGATGTTGTTTCGTAACGATTTGGATGATTTTGAGGAATAAAAACTGTGTTGTTATTTCGTCACAGTTGGATCTCAGTCAGAGAATCACTCCATAAATTTCAAGATTGTGTTTGTTATCAGTTTGACAATGAATAATAACCGTTTCCTATTCGCTACTCATATTTTGAGACTCACTGACTGCATCCTCTCACTGACTCTCAGTGTTCAGTTAACAATCATACAGAAAATCTGACTGACTCAGTAAGCATGGGTGTTCGGCATCCAAATTTTCTTGTTTATCCTGAGTCAGTGCAGAAGATTTTCAATTTGACTACATAAGGATGCAGGCCACCTCAGTGTGTATTTACCAGTTAGTTGACTTGCTCGTGTGAAGAAACTTCATCGGCCATAGGCGACGTCAAGTCCACAAACATATTCTCTCAAACCAACCAAGAAACTTTCACCTAACAGATATGCAGCAGAATGCACTGAAGGTGGATTGGACAAACGCATAGGAATCAGTTGAGAGAGGCCATCTCTCGAGTGGAACCATAATGGGGATTGAGAGAGACAAGGAGGAGATGATCTGAGGAGGCGAATAGAGCTTATAGGCCATGGTGGAGTCAGTTGAAGTGGACTTCAGAGAGTGGGATGAATGGAGATGTGTAGTTGAAGCCTTAAGTTACACTCAGAACCTGAGTGCATAATTAATTTAATTATAATAATAATAATGCAAAATTATAAGTACAAATTAGTGGTGGGAAACAGATAGCCTAAATTCACTTCACAACATTCAATATCAGTGCATTTCATGTTGCTGCTTACAGATCTCATGTGAGAATCACAAGAGAAATCTGAGGATACAGAGAAACTTGCTTCTAATTGCCTGTTAACATGAAAGTGTATTGAAACTGTTCTCATACAGGGCATGTTGAATTTATTTTGTGTTTAACACAGAATATTTTACTGAAGTACTCATTCAATTAAGTGCAGTAAATCTCATAGAAATAAGTAAATGAGAGAACTTGGTGACCTTATTTGTGCTGACGTGGATTGTTGTGTGAGTGCACTGAAAATGGATTGTGAATGGTGTGGCTATTATTTTGGGTAATCAGGGTTTACTATGGTGTGAGTGCGTTGAACACAGAGTAACAGTTTTCCACTAAATTCTTACTGATTTTATTCGTTTGTATTCAAGTGGAACAAATAGCTCAGACACTGATGTTCGAGATTTCAGTGTCAGTTTCTGTGACAGCGGTGATTCGAGATGGATTGTGCGGTTATATAAACCCAGGCCACGCGCTTAGTTAGCGAGTACTTTCCACGCACTTGAACCGGCGATTATTCAACACCTGTTTCATCTCACTTTGGACCTCCCCATCAGTACAAAACCACCGGTTTTCAAACCCATTAACTTCTTGTGACGAGGCGAGCTCGTTGATCGTTCAGTCACTGGAGCTTAGCTTAGTGACGTCACTCGCCAGGCTATCTCTCAGATTAAACCCGAATAGGAAACGGCAAGTTTGGAGCGGTAGTTGTTGTAACTTGGAGGAAACTGTGTGAGGAAAAGATGAGGGCTTATGCACCTTGATGGAGTCATCTGGAAATATTTCTAACTAGGATTGAATAGATTCACACCTCATCCTATAAAAATTACAAGATAAGCTGAAAGATAAACTTCGCCAGGAACAAGCTGGATTCAGTTAAAAAGAATCACTTAGGCATCGAATTGACACGCTTCACAGCCTAGAATGAAATAATGAGGAACATTCGTTTCTTTAGTGGTGGTGACATGGAGAAGATCATGCCGAGAGGAAACGTTGTGGCCGTACAATACTGTCGGAACGCGAGTCTGATTGTTAAACTCTTTCTGAATAACCTACGGTATATGCTTGATCTCCTCGCATACTCTTTAGTAGTTTTCAATATTCCCGACTGTGGAGGGTTTTGTGATTGTGTGTGAGGGGAGCTGCGACTCATGACGTATGCTCATAAACATTTCACGTAAGCCTGTCAGGTGGATAGGTATCTGGAAATCATGACGTTTACTGATCAATATTCCTTCGAGATCTTCTTCGAAATGTACTAAGGAAGTTGAATAAATTTGGATAAGGTATGCTTCTACTCATAGGAATTGGAATTCATGGACCGTCGGATCACTTTTGGTCTACAACTGTGCCTTGTAGCCAAAAGATCCTGGATGGTAAACTCAGTGGGTGTGTGGTGCTCAATAATCCTGATAAGGTACGACTGCTTCAATTATCCTAAGTTCATGTATGCATTTGCTGCAGACTCAGTGTACAATAATACTGTATCCAGTCAGTTCAACAATGAAGTCTTTGACAGCAGCAGCATCACAGGATGTAAAGTGTTCAAATTTACAGAAGTGTGCAAACAATTGCAGGTAATTGCTTAGACAACTAACATGTTGACAAGTTCTAGGTAACTGACAAAATAACAAACAAATCGGCTCGATTAAATAACAGACTCACGTAATATCCAACTCAAAAACTAACTAACTAACTAATTGCCTACCCAATCAGCTATCTAACCAACGTTGAACAAACTAAACAACTAAATAGCTAGCGAACTGAGAGAATACATAGATGAATAGCTGAATGACCAACTCACTAACTCAATAGTTAAATCAGTAGCTAAATTAATCAAAACAAAACAACAAAATAACTATCTAACTAAGTCTGCTTCAACCAGCTAAGTGACTAAAATGCTAAGCATTATATAAACTGACTAGCTAAACTAACAAAATAACACGCTATCTTAAAGAAGTTTCAACTAACTAACTAACTGACGAACTAAGTAAGTAAGTAAGTAAGTAACTAACTGAATAGCTAACTAAGTGAGTAAGAAAGTAACTAAATATCTAACTAACTAACCAACTAACCAAAATAAATAAATAACTATTTTACTAACAAACTAACGAACTAACTAACTAACTTACTAACTAACTAACGAACTAACTAAATAACTAACAAACTAACGAACTAACTAACTAACTTAATAACTAACTGAGTGAGTTAGTAAGAAACTAACTATCTAACTAAATAACAGCGAATTAACTAAAACTAACTAAATTAGTAAGTAAGTAACTTACTGTCTAACTAACTAACTAACTAACGAACGAACGAACGAACGAACTGACTAACTAACCAACTAAGTAAGTAAGTAACTAACTAACTTAATCACTAGCTAATTGAGTAAGTAAGTAACTAACTACCTAACTAACTAACTAACGAACGAACTAACTAACTAAGTAAGTACCTAAGTAACAGACTCATGTAATATCCAACTCAAAAACTAACTAACTAACTAATTGCCTACCCATTCAGCTATCTAACCAACATTGAACAAACTAAACAACTAAATAGCTTGCGAACTGAGTGAATACATAGATGAATAACTGAATGACCAACTCACTAACTCAAAAGTTAAATCAGTAGCTAATTTAATCATAACAAAACAGCAAATAACCATCTAACTAAGTCTGCTTCAACCAGCTCAATAACTTAAACGCTAACCAACCAACATATAAACTGACTAGCTAAACTAACAAAATAACACGCTATCTGACTGAATTATCAACTAAATAACTAGCCATAAAAATAATTGAACAACGAAATAACTAACTAACTAAGTTACTAACTAACTAACTAACTAAGTTACTAACTAACTAACTAACTAACTAACTAACTAACTAACTAACTAACTAACTAACTAACTAACTAACTAACTAACTAACTAACTAACATTGAACTAACTAACTAACTAACTAACTAACTAACCAACTAACTAACTAACTAACTAACATTGAACTAACTAACTAACTATCTAACTAAATAACTAAATAACTAACTAAGTGAGTAAGTAACTAAATAACTAACTTAATAACTAACTAACTGAGTAAGTAAGTGACTATCTATTTAACTAACTAACTAAGTAACTAACTAACTAGCTAACTAGCTAACTAATCAGTCCCTTAAAGAAGCTTCAACTTACTAAGAAACTGACTAACTAATAAACTAACCATCAACCAAACAGATAACTCACTGAGCATAGCAGACTAACTAAATAAGCAAATAACTAATTTCCTATCCACCCTTTATTAACTAACTAACTAACTGACCTAGAAACAACAAACTAAACAGTTATGCAGACAATTATCTGCCTAACTCAATAAATAGCCTACTAATTTACTCACTAACTGACTAACCAACAAACTGAGTGTGCTTCAAATAAATAATCACGATTCAACTGTGTAACTAACCAACACGGGACTGAATTAGCAGACAATTCGTCAATTGAATAACCAACCCGCTATCTAACCAGGGCTGGAACTAGCTGACTAAGTAACTAACCTTCCATCATCCGACTTAATAACCAAATAATCAGTTAATTAATTAATTAACTACCGAACTACCTAACTGTTCATCTTACTTTGTACTGGCCAACTAACCTTAAAAAAGCAAATCTACTACTCAACTTACTTATCTAATTACTTATTCACCTGCCTACATACTGACCCACTTCCTATGTTATTTGCTTACTCAATCACATGCCTAATTAATTTCTCACTGCCTGTGGGAACAGTGAAATCTAATACACGATTACTTGTGTGAATTATCCTGTGTTATTGTAAATAAGATTTTTAGAAATCTGATGTGTGGGAATTGTTTCAATGTAGTTATACAGGCATACAGGTAATTACAAGCAATTGTTACTGTGTCCTCAAATTTCTGTTGTGAATTCCACATGAGATTATCACGCCGTAACGCGAAATGCGCTCTTATATTAGATGTTGAGAAGTGCATTCTATTTCTCTCACACACACACACACGCTCTCTCACTGTCCCCCCTCTATCACTTTCTCACATTCACTGGCCACCTGTAGGATATAAATAGGGCCGTGTTCAATTCAACAACGCTGCACATCAATAACATGATTGAGAAACATTGTCTGATACTGGCGTTTGTTTGGACGTTGTTTCAATGTAAGTGATTGTCAGTGGTATCACATAAATTTGTATTGTATATACTGCTCTACATTTGTATATAATTCCTAAGTTCCGTGTTTGTTCCAGGGCCGATACTGTACTTATTTCCATCTAATTCATACAACTCACAACTGGGTGGTTTTGCCACCTTATGTGCGTCTGTGGCACAGTGGTTAGAACTCTCGTCGACCATGCACATGGTCTGGGGTTCAATCCATTCCCGACGCACACCCGATATCTATAGTCGGCCTGCAAAATTTAGGCTACCGATATCAATGCTGAAAATTCCATACTTGTACCAAAAATACGGTGTGTAATCAAGCTGTAATCAAAAAAGCAAAAAAGAAGCAAAAACTATCTTTTCACATGGTTGGTTGGTCATTGATGTCGACAGATTACTGTTGAAAGGGCATCTGAGAGTGATAATATTACGCAGCATGTACTTTCGTCACGACCATTTGTGATTTCACAAGTGATGGACGAAATACATACACTGGCCACCACCTCTGATTTTATCTACCTATCTCTCCATCAATCTATGAATCGAGGTTCTCCTGTCAAGCCAGTTGTAATAGTCCTTGTTCTAGAAACTTAAGTTTTCGGGGTGTTTCGGACACCTACTAGTATGTTTAAATAAATCAGTATTGTGAACAGTCCGATGTGAGACCACTCTGTCCAAAGGCGCCGAAGACACTAAAATTGAAGACTGTTTTTCTATCGTCTGTTGGGTAGCAAATCAATCGCTAGAAGCCTCTGAGACACCAAATACACGAAACAGAATAGGCTATTACAGTTTGCCTACAACAACTGGGTGGCTATATGTGCCAAAGAAACAACTCCAGCCACTGCTTTCTCCCCTAAACTACTATGGAACCTACAAATTCATTCATTCCTTGATGTTATCATGCTAAAGTTATCTGATATTCACTCCGGTGTTAAGCTGATGTATATTACCACTGACAGGTGTCATTTAACTGCAATCTATTGGTATTACTGATCCAATTTCATTTTGTTGGTAGTAATTGTGTCAAGCACAATAATTCCCTAATTATTGTCAGTGAATATAACTGTAGAACCTGAAGGGGGGTTAGCTATGAAAAAGTATATTCTTTGTACACTTATCAGTCTTTTATTCGAGCACCTGTGATTTAGTAATTTCACCGTCGTTTATTTTTGTTTTGTCAATTTCATTACAGTGTCCTACGTCATGAGCAAAGAAATATCTCCGGCTAAAAGAGGTAAGTCATGCTAAGATTGTTCTGTAGACGACTTGAATTAATTTTCGACTACACTGAGTTTCTCTTTTTCGGGTTGACGAATTATCATCCTCGTGTATACCTGTTTAGTCACAAGCATACATGCACAGAATGCTAATCTAACGCGGTGAGATATGAGACTTGGGAACAAACCTTACTTGCCCACATTACAATTCTGTTGGTCAAGTGGGAGTAGGCATTTCTGATTATTTGTTGACCGGATAAAGGTCGATTATGTTGTCCGGTGGAGTTACCTGATGTCCACAGCGTAAATTAAAACCACGTTTGATGCATAAATACTTCGACATCTGTAGCTTTTGACTCAAAATGTTGATTTCAATTCCAACCGCTTTCTACGTCATACTGCATACACTATTACTATTTGCTATTTGCTGTTCAGTTAGACATGTTTCATGTGGTGTAGATATCAAGGAGTAGAATTGATTCTCTCGCTATGGCAGATATCACGTAGGGATTGTGAATGGTGTTTCACACCTGCAAGGTACAACTTGTTTCTATATCAGAATTGGTTATACGAAGATGACGTCAGTCAGCTTCACGGTAAGCGGAGATCTGAAGAGCAAATACATGTGTGTTCTGAGTGAAATACACGGCCTTTTTAACACATCTTCAATGAACTAACTTCTCCGGAATCACTTCCATCTGGTCCTGTGACTTCCAGCAGGCCTCCATTCCCTCCTTACAATATTCTCTTCATTTCAGTTTTCAAAGTGACTTCGAACACGTCGCTGCAAAATCTTGTTCAAATCGAAGGCCTGCCTATTATGCGATGTGTCATGAAACAAATCGGTCATGACAATGGCAATGAAGCTCACAGGTTATTGACAATTAGTGGTTAAACAAATCAAAATGCATGAGAAATAACAATAAATGAAAAATCACTGTCAGAGGGCGAAATTCCTTATAGGTTACTGCCTTCACTCATCCAGTCAGATGGTGTAGCTTCAATTACAGGAATTGAAAACCAGTCAGAATCGGAGAGACAGGCCTCCATTTTGCTAAAATCAGTTTGTAAATCTGCTACACTAAGTAAATTGAACACAATTTCATTTTAGAAACACCAAAGTTGAGTCACTTGGTCTCTATGGTTCAGTGACTTGACATGCGCACCATCGAAGCTGTTTCCAACTGATCACTGCAGATCTGTTTCAAACGCGTGAGTCATCGCTGTTCACTGATGATCGGACAGCCGGCTAGAAATGATAAGCAACAGGAAAATCTCGGGTCGAACCAATCTGCCACCCTGATGCTCAACAGATATTCTGAAGAAAATGGAAGTGTTTCTGGCACAGACTGAGGACACAGTTGAATGATATTCCACTTCAGGCGTTGGAGTGAAAGTGAATTAGGAGACACTGACTGTGGCATCGGAGGATGATAAAGTGCAGGCCGTAGAGGGAGGAGATGAGGGCGTGTGCGCAATCGTGGGGCTAGCTAGATATTACTGCAGAGGAGAAGAAAGGGTACATATGGTCTGTTGAAGCGCCATGCTCACCTAAAAACCCAACGGCACAATTATAAAGAAATAATACACAGAGAGTATTACACAACAAATCAGGAGGATAAAACTGACTCAGAGTCCATGGTGATAAAACAGGCTGGATAGAGGAATTCTGAAACCAAGCTACGGTGTTTCCTTAAGCGCAGCTACACGTCCGACTGCATGAGGATGACAATGAAATCCGCTCGAATGGCTTGAATCTTACTGAAAATATGCTTCTGAGAGAAGTCTCCGATGATGCTGTATGACCCAAAGTAACAATGACCTCCATAGTTCACCTGTCGACTAACCTATGTTCTCCGTTCGACAACCACACTCATCAATATTGTCATGTTTTAACCAATACTTTTCTTCAGCCAGAGTTTCCAAATCATCACCTGAGGTCTTAGTTTCTCTGATGACAAGTAGTTTAACCGTCTAACTGTTCAATGAGATTACCCAGAATGAAGAAGAATACCATGTTATTAACAGTATTTATATTTGTCAAATGAAAATACCCTCCACTACTTTCCCCACTTTGTGTTTACTTCTTTTCCACATTCTAGATGAATTAAACATGAAGATCAAGCAATACAGTGGACTCTATAGCCTTTACAAGACTTCTGAATGTGAGTGAGGTTGATTCTAGTATGATTACGCTTTGGTTGTTTGGTTGTTGCTTGATTAATTTCACAGGTGATCGGAAATTGATATCGGCTGAGGAATCTTTGAACAGTGGATGGAGTGATGGTCACCTAATTCTTCCTCTTTCACCTGTACTCATCAGTACACACCTCATAACCCACACAAGGATTGAACCAAAGGCCTACGTGTTATAAAGCGATCCAATGGGTAGTACAAACACTGGCACGGTACTCAATGGCTAGCCGATAAACTCTAACTTCTGACTATTTCTCATATATATAACGCCATCAGTATTTGCAGTGTGAACCTGGTGGTTGTAGCCATGAGTGAACACTACTGAACAGTTTCCAGAGAAGGTTGAAACAGCAGTCCTTGGTTTGCAATGATTCTCTAGTTGACACCATTCACTACACGATCAAACCTGAAGTGATTCTAATGCACAAGAAAGTTCAGATTTCATGTTGAATCACCTCTTAAACCATATGTACACAATTCCCAAACTCACCAACATGCGTATACTATTCATTTTGTTAACGTCATGGAGTTATTAACGATCAAAATTGATTGGCTGGTGGTCTGAATGCAGTGAGCCAATCTGCATATTCTACTGTCTGGCTATCTGAAACTTCCTCGATAGACGCATAAACACAAAATCAAGAAGGACATTGCCAACAATATGAAATCGAATCTCTGTCACCCATCAAACAATACCCGTAGACAGTCCGAGGTCACAGTAAGCTCGACTCACTCAAACTAAATCTGATCGTATAGCAACACGTTATCCATGTTATCTCACAATCACAAAGGGAAGCACTAAGAATGGAGATTCAACAAGGACCAATACAAATGATTCTGATCAAGTCAGCATATGCCTACTGCAGTTAACGCGAAGCAAGGACAATCATCACAGAGTTAGTTGAAACGTTCACATAAGTGTGGATACTGTAGGCAGATAGTTTAGCAGTGATTTTGTAAACAATTATTCCATAAGAGTGATTACTCGTGAAATATTCGGATGTATTTATCTGTTTTACAGGCATTGCATTATTGACAGTCAAAGAACCGGAAATCAAATTGACTGTGAAGGATTTTAACGATGGTGAGATATTCAAGCTACTTTTACTGATAATATTCATGATCATAATAACAGTGATATTTTATTTAGTGACAAACTACTGAGACTTGTCCAATGACAGCGAGATATTTGAGAGCGGAATGCAGGATACGTTTCACTGAGAGATGTTTGAGTTCGGCGCCTAAGCCGTTGTTCCGAGTTTGATCATGAACTGATGCCAGTAAGTGAACTAGTGGAAACTACCAGGAAGAACGAGACAGTAGTTTCATCCTACTTTGAGATTCTGCAGCATTAATGTACAAAATTGACGAGTTACCGCAATCGTCGTTGTCAGTAACTATCAGTGCTATGAGAGCAGTCAAATAAGGATATCTGAATGACCTATTAGACTGATGGATAATTTGTATAGATGCGCTGTAATCATGAGACGAAAGCAAACAAAGTTGAATGTGGTCTTATGTAGAGTTTTGTAGGTGATATAAGAGATAAAACGGGTTTAGAAACAAACAAACAAACCCACAAGGTTGTTAGCATGCAAGTAGAAGTGGTTGAATAATGATTTCCTTTTGTATGCAGAGCCTGGGATTTCCTGTATGAATAGTTAGAAATTCAGCAAAGGGTAAAGTTGACGAGAGTCTATCGCCCTCAGCATGTAATGCATCTTCATTTTGTGGGTTACTTCGAAGGCGGAGTTTGTTGAGATAGAATGACAAATGCCTGACCAAGTGTTCACCTATCGAAGATCTCATAGATCCACTGTCGCCAGCATTATGACAAGTTCACACTCATTGGTAATCGTGTTTTCATGAACAAAAGGGCATATGATGAATACGATTGTAGAGCTAGAGAAGTAACTGATGTAGTCGAATAGAGCCACCACGTTGAACTCATTCCCTTGTAATTTTCAAAATGATTTACACTGATTGATGACAAAATACAGAAATCCTACACTTAAGAGGTTAAGATTTGTGAAAGTGACTCGTAATCTGCTTCCATTGTGTTCATTACATGCCGTCAACCTGTCCGTTCAAAGATCCAACTCCTTGCAGAAGACATCAGCTCACTCACGTCCAACCTAATATTGGCGGCCGGGAACCGAACACCAGACCACATGCATGCCAAGCGGCGAAAATTGTATCACACAGAGTAATAGTATTATTCGCTAGATGACTGAATTCCGAATATAACTGATTATTTCAAGGTTGAACACGAAATCATATCACCATGGGAAACACTGAAAACCACCAGGGAGTACTGAACAGTGGACATTCACGTCCATGTTTTGCACTCGTCAGCGGTACGCAAACCACTTGGAGGCGAAACCAGTAGTTTCTGATTAGAAAGCAGCGTCGTTGACCATTCAGCCACCCGAATCTGAATCAAAAGCCGGTCCATGAATCCTAGATCTCACCGACTCGTGATTTGTTTTAAAATCTAGTGAAACAGGATGAATGTGGACAGTGAGACTGATAACTGATGCGTTATTTTCTATTTTTTGTTCAATTCTGATTGTCCTGTTGATTGATTGGACTACGATATTCCACTTCAGTTGACATGTCGATCCTGCTTCTGAGGATTCCTCGGAGATGTCCGAGGACTCACCTTGAAGTATTTGAGGGATCGTGGCTAGAAATGGAGTGCAGAATGCACATTTCAAGTTAGGTGAGATTCGTCAGTGGGATACACCTGCAAACCTCAATGTTTGATTGTATTCCCGCTGGGACTGGAATCCAGCACCCATTGTTTAAAACACCAAAGTACTAACCATGACACAACTTCAACACCTGTGCACCTGGATGTCGGAGAAATTCTCCTCACTTGACAGTGAATGCACAGGAAGCATCAGAACTCTGAATATCACGTCTAGAAGCGGTGTAATGAAATGGTTCTGAACAATCAGAATTTGTCTCCAAAACGTAAAATCCAGTAAATGATATTTCTATGGTGGAATAACATGCTCACACCACATTCTGCCACTTTCACACATCTGCTGAGATTCTTTTCATATTGCTGTTGTCAACGTTATTTTTCTTCTGTCTTTCAGTTATACGCGACAGCAAGTATCAGATATTTGCGAACACTACCGTGGATTTCCTGAGCGGTGAGTACCAGTGATAACTGTCAACGGATAAAAGGGCATATTACAGCATTCAGTAGTGTTAATCAAGATTAGTGTAGAGCCATGAAAACTACTTACTACTGATTGACTCTAATGAGTACTTGTAGACCACTTGCATCCACAATCAGTAAGGCCTGTTAGCCAGTTAGATCAAAGTGATCTGAACGCCACTGCATGGCCATTTGTTCTCTTCTGTCGTCGAGTTCATCAGCGGCGTGACCAATTTACCTCAGCTCAAACCACCCGATACTTAGCTGGCTACTTCGGCGAAACGAAAAGCATTCAGACCACTTCATGTCAGTGTGTACTGTGATTGATATCATTATTGATAACGGGCGAAATGGACCACTAATATCACTGACATGAGTAACATGATGCCACAATGAATAAATTCCATTTCCAGATTGGAAATATGCGCAATTAATCATTAGGGTCTTGTGTAAACTACCAAGTGATCTGCAAGGTTGCAATATGATTTAAGAATATTGTGAGGCTCAATCAATAAATATGTCTTCCACTGTGACAGTTACATGCACATATCTATCCGTCTCTATCTCATCCTTATTTTGTGTTCAAAATGATTCATGAATAACATTTTCATTGATTACAGAACTGAAAGGCGAATCGACTTGGATGAATGTAGACGAAGTATCTTACCTGTCTCATGACTATATCGGTATGATTTATTTTCAGAATAACTCCTTTTAACGTAAAAAATACTAAGTGACGGTGACATTAAATACTGCATCTAATTTCATGTATACACTTGGTTTCAATTTATTAGCCTACTAAGATATGAACACTAGTCGGATTGTTTGAAATTTTGGAAACTTACGGATTTGTGAATTTCCACTGAACCCAAGCATAAGCATCGTTCTTGGTGGCTGTGTGCTTCAAAACGCACTTCAATGCACAAAATGATGCTGCTTGATATTATGAGAACAATCTGTCGTTCTCTGTCTAATGAAACTAGCTGTCTGCAGTCTCACCTGCCTGCTTGTGTATACCGCAATACGAGGATTGTACCTCTTCAAGACACCTGGTTCTTTGATGAATATAATGATAATTTCGTCTGTTCGAATGGCTTGAAACCATTTAAAGATGATCGGTGTAGCTTTGAATAACATCTTGTGTCTTTGCATCCCCCAAAAATCCTAAGTGGTGGTCAACTAACACTAACGCCCACCTCAGTTTCTCAAATGACAAAATCGACTGGATTACTGTGAAATGTCGACTGAAGCACCTGTCTGTTGAGGTACAACTACAGCGTCATTTCGAACATTTATATTGCGCCTGATTGTAGTCCATCAGAACTAATCTCATCTGCTGATGATCTCACTTCTTTCGCTACCACCTCCCATACCAACTTTCTATCAATATTTACTGGAGATTTCAGTGTCTGTGACTGTAGTTTCCCTATATCATTGGCTAATGAAAAAATTGTTCCCATGAAACCAGTATTAGAGATTGTGCTGCAGTTGGAACTAAATCGAATGTTGAATACTTTGGAATATGCCTTTACTCCGATATCACTTAGTCTTCACTTTGAAAGTTTGTTGATTCTTGTAGTCTATCCATGCTCTTGCATTTCTTCTCCTCATTCCCCCTGAAGTTACTGAATAACGGCTTCGTTACATTTCGGGGGGCGGTGGAAGCTGTTGTTATGTCAGTTGGAATGTCAACAAACCAGCGTGCTAATACTGTCATAGATAGACACTGGAACTGACACAAGAGAACAGCGAATATTTTCTTGTCGAAATCTGAGCAGCCTCTCTATACACAAGTCGCCTGTCTCACTTCATCAGATCGGACTAGAAGCAAACATCGAAATCTATATCTTCTGACAACTAAATATAAAGCTCCTCAAAACTAAGTTTGTAAAATAATTCGTTGCACACAAAAAATCTTATGTATTCTATTGAGGTAGCTTAACTTGTAATATATATTGTCACTTCCTATTGTCTGTTCACCGAGGTGGACAACTCTATTTCATTTCCATTCTGTGTCTCAAATTTAAAGTAATGCATTGAACATTTAAACACATATTAGAACGTGGACGTGTTAAATGACCTCAGTCAGTGACAAAGTGTCCACATTTATCTACTCCTCAGGTTACTTGAAACTAGTTGAAGAGTTACATAGTGAGTTTATTGATATCCTGGATAAATATATAAATATATGGGTATATGTGCAGATGAGTGTGCTTATCTCTAAATACGTATAGGCATATAATGATGAATAGATCGGCATGCAGATAGATAGACAGATGAGTGAGAGCAAGTTAGGCCAGAAATGGATAGATAGAAGGAGAAATTTTACTAGGGACTACCCAGCCATGCATTTTCCACTCTAAAATTTATGGTGTTTCTTGTTTTTCCAGATAGTACTGTATCCGAAAATATTGGGAAGAAAATGGGGAACAAGAAAGTTAAAGTTAACCTACCTGCAGGTAACGTCTGATCTCCACGAGGAAGTATTTTTCAGTATGTTTCTCGTGTTGCGGTAGGTGGACCAGTTTTCAGTTCTTCTCTTCCCCCTGCCCTTGTTGCACGCAATCATGTTATGACGTCCACAGACTGGATCTCAACACTGGTGGATATTCACCGAATCATAGTTTCACCACTCTTCACCATGCATTCTACTTCAGTGGCATTCTGCTGCTGCTTTGTGCGAATTTCGATTTTCTGGTTGACTGACTGTATTGAAATATTCAATCTCTGTGGGAAGACTATCACCAACTGGGGATTGCAGAGACGTCTGATTGACGAGTTCTGGATAACACGAGACAAGCATCATGGATTCCACCGCTAGTCACAACCAACCAATTACTTCAAAGCAATCCACAGACTTCGTCAAAGCGTCAAATTAACAAAGGTCGAACGTGTCTGCCTAACCTGTCAACAGGAAAATCGAAATCGACTTAAAGTAGACATATGATTACAGGTTAATAAGAATTCGTGTTTGTGAAGAACATGCCGAATCTAACACTGTATTCTACTGATGATTTGCAGTGTTTGACCACTTGGTAAAAACTCTTCGCGATGCATGGACTGCTAGAAAGGATCTGTACAAGACAGCAGGTTAGTCGACATAGTATTGCCGTCGTTGTTGTTGTCGTTGTTTCAAAGATATTCAGTGTAAATGATAACAGCATTGTCGTGAATTCTATTTACATGTTTCGTTCTGTGTTTATTCATGATCCTGACAATAACTGCGAGAGTCACTAAGAATTCACATGTTGACAAAGAGATCGCCTCTTGTCACTTCCCTTCCCACCTCAGTAGTATTCTAAGTGTTTATATACACAATGTTAATAACCAACACTGGTCACTGCCTATTGTCACTTAGAAGTGAAATAAATAAGAGTGTATAAGAAATAACAATGTATGAATTAATGTCACACGAAAAATGACTGACAACATAGAGTTTGGAAAGTACTTCGATATTATGCAATCCAGTGGTACAAATCTATATCGAACTAGGAAATATCTGGACCTTGTTGAATATAAGAGTTGAAGTTCACAAAAATCTGGCGACCTACAGTTAGCGACCAGCAATTTGAGAATTGAAACACCGACGAATACAGAAGGAGTTAGCGACAAGCAACTCTGGGAACAAGTTTACCAATAACCAATTCCTCAATAGATATTCTGAAGAAAATGTGAAGGATCAATCACACAGTGAAGACACCATCGAATGACATCACGCGTCAGGCCATCTGTCAAGTGTCTACATGACGCGAGATATCTTTGAATCGGAGTTAGGAGTATGAGAGTTGTCGTTGCCAACTTAAGCGTTCTTAATCACATAGCGTAGTAGTGGCAGCATTAGTGAAATACTGGAGTCACCAGTTGAGGGGAATAATTAGCCAAGTATTTATTTGAGGATGACATGCATTTCGCATGTTGAAAGACTGCCAGTGAACGTTCACAGCCGAATGAATATTAAGCCGTACTATTGACAAAACAGTATTCGTAGTTGCTGCAGTTGTAGTAATAGTAGCAGAAGCATCAGCAACAACATAAAATGGAGTTTCAAAATAGCGAGAAATAAAGTAAGTGTGTGAGTTTTAACTCTACTCTGGAACACCAATCTAACTAAGCTTAACTCTTCAGACTTATTCATCACAAAATACTGCTCAAAATACTTCGAAAATGATGACCATTCTTCTTTCATGCCAGAAATCTCACCGACGTAGATACACCAAACTGTTGACTTACAATTGTTTCATATGATCATACACACTTTGTTGAAATTAATTTACCGAAAGACACTCATGATGTTTTGTATTGACAGCTGTGTACTACAAAACCGACAATATGCCTGAGAATGACTTCATCCCATATGGAAGTGAGTAAACAGAAGTAATCAAAGCGTATATCTGTTTATTTGTTGACAATGAATATCTTGAAACCAGTTAGAGTATCATTGTAAGTAAGCAGGGTGTACTGGACAGTCACTGCGTCCCATTTTACGGCTCTTGATCAGTACGCACCCACGGAGGTTCGTTCCGAGTATCTACATTTACAAGACGTTTCTGTAGACCATTCAGCCACCGAGCGGTGCGTGAATTCCAACTCCTGTCAGTAGAAGCATGTTAATCAGCTAATTCGTGATCTTGTGTATCATGTACTTTATCTTCTCTTCTTGCCATGTGTTGATGAATGTCTCGCAAGTGAGATTACAATGAATCCCTGTCTTAGTGTGATGTATGTTTATCCGAATGAACGACTATCGTTTGATTAACTGCAGTCATGAGTAATTGACACTGCTGTTGTTGGAGGAGGTGAGTCAAGGTCATCACTAGAAACACTTTCAGTGATTGATCATATTTGCTTGCTGCCTTCCAGTAACGCATATGTCTGATGTCTTCCAAGACAGAGACGAAAGGCCTTTCCCAAATATGTCCAGTCAAAGTGAAAGTGAATCGAAATTTATTCCACTTCCTAAGTGCGCTTCGAAGAAGAAGGTAACTGGATCATTGAAAGATATCAATTACGAATATCCATCCTCAAGAAAGATTGAAATGAATTATTCGTGCATTCCATCACAAACTAACACATTGAAAACTATTGAAATGTATTCGAGGAAATGGCTCACGTGACGTAGGATGCGATGAATTCTGTCGAGAACTCTATACAAATTATAAATACTGTCCAGAACGGAGCTACCAATTATTATTATAATTACCTGCCTTGGTGGGACACACGAGATAGTCAGGTTTCAGTCAAGAGATGGTCTGGTGTGTCGTATCACTCGACAGACTCGTTAGCCTGTATCTTATGAATCCTCACTTCTTCTAATTACCTGCTGAATTATCAGAACGTTACTGGTTCGTTCCCAGAGTTTCTTGTCGCTAATTCTTGCTGTCTGGTCATTTGATCTTCACTGTGGTGTCAGAGAAGGCAGCTGTTGATAACATTCTCAAACGACAACTGTGAAATTCTTTCGATGGCAAACTAAATCTTTCAAGAATATAGAGCTGACTTCAAATTATTGTGAGAAATCCGAATTTCATTCTTCATGCTGAGAGTGTGGCAGATTTCTAAACTGATTGCAGGCTGCTGAATGTCTGCCTAACCTCTCTGATTCTCAAAGTCATTGACATCCCCACTCGTGCTGCATTTGTTTGGAAAAAATGCCTCCTTGATAAGTGCAGGGAATGACAGCCTTCAATATTCTTCCACTTATAGCGATTCGTGCTTGTTCTTACTGTTGGCTGGGTATCTTATTCACTTTTATCTTCTCTCCATCTTCACTGGAGGTCCTGTCTTCGATGGCTATATTTTCTGACAACTGAATGCTTTCAGCATGCAAGTCTTCACATTTTTGTAAAATTAGGCACAGACCCTCCTCAAGGTCCAGAAATATCACAGGCGGTGTTAAGAAACCATATCTTACTCAGAGGCTTCGCTGAGTTTTCCGTCACCAATCACTTGACACATGGGATTGGCATATAGCTGTTGAATTTGACTGGTGAAGGTTTTCAACATTGCACTGCATAGTGTTGAAGTCGTTTTCGAATGAATTCAAAAGCAATTTCGAACTCGATGAAGTTAAGACGGAGATTTGACCGTCATTTAATGCTCTGTTCAATGACGGTGCGTAGAGTTGTCATTTCGTCCGTTCAAAATTTGCTTCTCCCCAACCAGCCAATATCGAGTGAAGCTGTGCATCCAGTGCGGAATTATTACATAATTCCATTTTATTTGTTGGTAAATATTATTTTCCTGAAATCTGATATCAGTATCTGGTATTGCGTCATTTCTACTGCACGTGTCGCTTGTGCATTCAATGAACCAATTCTCAGTGATCCAGCGTTCCTTCCTCGCAAGTGCAAAACAGGACCTCGATTGAAACATGCAGTATTACGAAGAAACAAGTCATGCATCGATTCAATAGTAGCAATACTCATCATCGTCAGTTCTCTGCCTCAACTTCATTCACTATGAAAATGCCTTTGACAGCGTCGGTCAACAGGTGATATAGAGACATCTTCGCTACCACAGGGCGATTCGGACAACTGTACACCCCGTCTAACATTTGTGCAACAGTGCTGCATGCCAAGTAATCCACAACGGGGCACTCGCGGAATCCTCTCAAGTGAAGACGGGAGTAAAACACATTGTCTGCCTACTGTTTACAATCATTTGCCTGATCTCAGGATAGTGCAACAGAGATGAAGAAACGAAGAGTAAAATAGACCAGCAGAGAACACTTCGAAGATGTAGATTTCGCCGATGATATTTGCAAGATATGCAAGTGAAAAGCAAGAAGTCGGTGATAGAGGAAGAATCAAAGAAAAATATGTTTTCAGGTGAACGTAGAGGAAACAGAGTTGACCAATATTCCTGACAAACACAAAAAGCGATAACAACAACCACAAAAACAATAATCAGCATAAATGGGAGAAATCTGAGAGAAGCAACCTCTTTACCTACCTACCTACCTACCTACCTACCTGGAAAGCATCGTTTCAAATACAGGCGAAGGGAACTGGTGTGGATATCGAATCGAGGGTTGAGAAAGCCAGTCAAGCTTTCATTACTCTCTAGTCTGCGAAGAGACCAACAACCCTCAGCCTGGAAAATAAGATGAGCACCAATGTGAAGTCAGTGCTACTATGCATGTCAGACACTTGTCGGGTCACGAAATAAACTTTGAACAACCACTGTTTTCGCCCCAATACTTCGTTCAAGATCAGATGACCAGAAAACATGAGCGACATTGATCTCTGAGAGCAAACCGACCCAGCAGGAACCAACTAAGCAAAAAATATTCAAGACGAAATGGAGGCGAATTGGTCATACCCTATAAAAAAACATCAAGTGGCTTCACACGCGAGGCCATTGCTCGAGTAAAGAGCTGAACGGGAAACGGCGAGCTGGTCGTCAGTGTGAGGGTATCACAGAGGAGGTGATACGAAGAGGAGACGAAAGCATGTCCGCAGACATGCAGCCAGGTGGAAGATTTGGTGGAGAAATGAACGCAACAGAGACGTGTGGCTGAAGCCTCTCCGAACTAAATGAAACTTGTGCAATAGCTTGTCTGAAATACACACACGCATACGATGTTAATACATAATATTGATGGACAATTTAGTTTTCCACATATACTCAAACCTACAATCAATTGATTTCATTTTCCCTTAACAATATTGAAATGACACTCACATTTGCATTGACTTCTGCTCTTCATTAGATGTAAACATTACCGTAGAAGAGTGGGGAGAAATTATTGAAAGGGAATTTATCAAATCAAGAGGTAAACAAATATTTGAACAAAATGTTTAATTTCAAAAACGCTTCCTACTTTGATATTTTGAGTCATGTAGAAGCGATGATTTGTGATAGTCATTCATCGGTTGGTGAGAGGACACTCCAGTTACTGAGGATGGTGCTTAGTAAGGCAATGAAATCTCTTCAACCGAACTATCCAGCTCGATGAACACAACTACACAAAAAACCACTCATCCAACGTGCTAACATATCTCCTAAGTTACACTCTTATATTGACTACATTAACTGAGTAAATAATTACTCTGGCATGATGAATAATCAGGCGCATTTCCACCTGCTTTCCCTGTAAAGTGTGTATGTGGGTGTTGAGAATGATGGATGATATGTGTGCACGGATAACAGCAAATTTCATTTTACCTGTTTGGTTGGATTATCTTGAAGTTTGCTTCATTTCATTTCTATCTGTCCAGAGAAAGTTGAGCAGGAATGTTTGCAAATATCAGGAATGCAACCCAATATAACTGGTAAGTCCCAATTTGTTTTCTAATTGACAAATTGTCGCGTCAACTGACCAGCAAAATCAGCAACATCATCAGATATTGTCGCAATAAACTGCAATAAGCTCAATTTATTGTTTACGGTGTGATGTGACATCTGTATTTCCCGTTTGTCACCATGAAATCTTCTTGTGACTGATATGCAACGGTGAATAAAACTGACTATATTCAGTCCGAATTAGTCGTAACTGATGTGGGAGTATGTGTACTGCTCAACTGACATGAAACCATTACTTCTGTGCACCTGGAAGTACTGTGATTCATCCATACAAGATGACATTCATCCAAATATACATTCCATTGGTTGCTTATCTACATCACCTCCGTATTATCTATGGTTACTCAAAGTTATGCTTTCTCTTTCAGCAATGTCTGAATTCCATGCTGCTGTTGGTAAGCAGAAAATTGTGTGTTTCCAATCCTCCTACCCTCTCATGTTAAGCAATTCAAAATACTGACTGACATCATAATGCAGACTTAAACAAACAAGGCCTGTGTGCATATGTCCAGGACACACGGAACTTCACCCACATAACACATGTTAAGAGTCTATTGCATCCTTTTCTGGAAGGAAGTTTCGAGAGGATGAAATTATCATAGAATATTCAAGAGTCATTCTGTATGGACTTGATATACGTGAAGTTTGATCATGGTTTGAAATTAGCTAGATGAGCAGGGAAACGGCTGCTCCTTCTCATTTCGGAACTATTATTCAGTATGCTGCCACAATACCACTGGATATTGAGGCAAAGACCTGCAGGTGATGGGAGGAAATCTCGTTAGCCACTTAACTGCAATCCAACGGCCCTTGAATTCCAACATGTATCACTTCGTGATTTTATCGCAATCGCCAGCCAGTATCGTAGACGAGTATATGTCCTCACATCCTGCCAGGTGCACACCATTCATCTCGACTTGTCACTAGATCTCCAGTCAACTTCATCTTGTAGTCAATCACTAGTGAGGGCCACAACCGGTAGGTCCTTGTTCCGACCACTGACAAGTCAGTTAATGCATTCACACTGTCAATGAGTCCCGAGCTGGGAATGTACAGCCAGCTGGCCATTACTCCCAGCTGCTTTTCAATGATTCTCCTGCTGATATCAATCCATGATTCAACCTTGGAAGAAGTCGAATCCCTGCAAAATAATTCCTGGGAGTTAGGTCATTTGCCCATTGTCTGACCGATCACAGTAAAAATCTCTATTGTTGTGGTTTCTTTCTGTCAGACGTGCAACAAACATAATGCATGGTGAAAAGTGACAGAAAGATGAACAAAATTTAGGCAACATAAGAAGATGCCACAAACAGTGTGACAGTAATTGAAGAAGGGACAAGACAATCCATAAGGATCACAAAATCCCCCTGTAGGCTGCGGCTTCTGAATATCGTAGTAATATGCTGTGACTGTCGGTTTACCATTCGGAAGGCTACTACGCTCTCTTCGACCTAATGAGAATCATTTTCGCTCATGTTAGGAAATCCGCCTTATATGTACCCTGTCAGTTCTCCCCATGTAAATACATACGTCTGCAACTACAGGTTAATGAGTGAAGCAATACCGTCTTAGGTTTCATGAGGCTTTCTCACAACCAGATATAAATTCTTAAGAATATTATGGGTAATGTGGGCTACGACGAATACTACTAATTTCACCATACATGCATTATGCAGTCAAAGAAAGTCTCGTGAGATCATTTTGTCGCCTTTCAATGAATGCCAATCTTAGGAATGTATTCTTCTTCTTACTTTGTACATTTATTTCAATCAATTATTCACTATCCATCCGACTTGAGATATTCACTGATAAATGCAGTGTGGGGAGGGTGTCCATTGTCGGTGGATACTTTGTGAATTCGACCGAGTTATGCGTCGATCAACGTGAAGAAATTGGACAGAGGCTTTTAAATGGTGAATATTATTGACCTATTGAAGTCAACTTATGATAATGTAGAGCTATTTTCACTTTCTAGCAAGACTCAATTCTGAGTTACGCCTATCTGATTCTCTTTCGTAAAGTTGTCTTTATCTGAATACACCAATGTCCAAAAAGCTTCATTCACTCCCGACACAATCTCCTCAGTGTCACCTTCAGGCGCTCAACTCATCGTTTTTCATTCGAGTTCACTGTGATGACGTCGTTAACTGCAAGTGGCGTTGGATTATTGAAGGTTCAAATCTCAGTAGGGAAGAGAGTTGTTTCTTCAAGCTTGCGAGTAGAAAATTGCTGAGTGTTGATTGCCAGCCAACAAATCAAGCAGGACATCGGAATGTCAGACAGACAGGCAGAGCTTTCTACCTACCGATTGCCTCTAACCATACCATGACATTTATTCTTATCATGATTTATAGAACTCTGTAACACGAAGGAGGAGGAATAGACAATGCGCTGTTTTTATTAGATATCCGCTCAATTATTATTATTACTAATTGACATTATTTCGCACGTTTAGTTGAACTGACTTCTGAAGTGGAAAAGCTTGAGAAGGAAAGAATTCAGCGGTTTCAGAGTAAGTTCAAATTTCACCGTTATAGTAATGAATACATAAATGTTTAGCACTGACTCCATTGGATATAATGAATACAGCTCTCAATGCGATGGAACGAGAGCTTGTTCACGAATTCGGTAAGTGATTCAGACGGGTAATTTTCATGCCATTTATTTTGTTGTGAGATAAATATTAAGCTGCCTTCATAATAATAAATAGTATCATCATTACTGTTATTATTCACTCACGTATCGCTTAATTTCTAAGGGGAGCATAATGCCTGACATATGGACTTCAGTGCATATACATACTTCAAAGTTGTTATTCTATGCTGTGTTCAATGACAATGCGAAGTGTGGAAATTTGATCCGCGAATGACCTCCTTTGCCTGAATCCATCATGTTTTGAATGTCTGCTGAACACCTTCCGGTCTCTCCAAGATGATATGACTTCATGTTTTGTTTGCGTTGAGAAGAAGTTCAATGTCATATCAGTTCCTCCCAATTCTATAGTCGTTTTCCTTCGGCATCATGACGATATAGCCATTCCTCCCTTCAGTAGGTAGCATTCCTTCTGGCTTTCCACACCTACACTAGTGGCGTTGGCACTTAAAGCAGGTATCTAGTTCAAAGGCCAGCGATTCTCCTGGTGCATGATATGTGCGTCGGTGGTACAGTGGTTAGGACTCTCGCCGACCATGCACATGGTCCGGGGTTCGATATTCTGACGACGCACACCCGATATCTATGTTCGGCTTGCAAAATTTGGGCTACCGCTATCACATGCTAAAAATTCCGTACGTGAACCAAATAAACGGTGTGCAATCAAGCTGTGATAAAAAAAATACAAAATAATTAAGTACTCCATCTGGATCATATTCAGTATCTTCCACTGTCTCTGTCTGCGTTCACCCCTTCCCAGATAGAGACTTGTATTTCGGTCAGAACTCTGTCAACCAAAGGCCTTCGTCCGTCTGAATACATTTCCGAACTGCTGGGAGTGACTCGCACGCCAAAATTTTCTTCCCAAAATGCTGAAAAATGTTTTAGGTAGATCAAATGTGAGACAGTATTCAGCAGGAATGATAACTTACGTAAAAAATGGAAAACTTACTCAAACAAGGTTATCAGGAAATACAATTACATGATCATTCGTCGAGAATTCAATTGAGTTCATTTTACAATTAAGATTGCGCTGAAGACTTTATCTAGAAAAGCAAAGAAAGCTTTGCAGTTAAATTACACGCATCAGAAATTTATTGTGTATAGCGCCACCAACAGCCTATGCAATTGGTGAGCGTATATCCCCACACCTGTCTTCATCAACCCCATTGGACATGACTATCCACTCACTACGACTCCAGTCAATCACAACAGTTAGAGAAACAGGGAAAACCAGCTCGGAGTACACACCATCATCTGTCCCAACCGAATACCTTCCGTTCACCAGTCAATCTCGTAGACCATTCCAACTCATGAATTCTAACTTCCAATACTTCATGATGTCTTGTGCAACTATCATTTGAAACAAATCGAATATGCACCTGACTACAAATTGATTCTTGAAAATTGTGTCAATCCACAACTACTATGTATTAATATGCCTCCATCTTTTTTTTCACAGGTGAGCAATATTTATGAAACACAGTGGACATGGAGTGTTCACAAACTCAGAAAATTTGATTCTTTTCTGCTGGTGGTGGTGGTGGTGTGTTATTAATTAATTAATTATTAATTCATAGTAATAAACATTTTTTTTCTTTTGTTAAATAAATCCTGCTTGCAACCAGTCGTTGTGTCTTTCACATAATCTACTTGTACGATTCGAGTTTATCATCTGGAGACACACACTCATAACCGCTGTTACGACTGAGAACGACGTGGTTTTGTCTGAACTCAGGAAGACAATCTTTGCGGACCGAATCTCGCCTCAGAAAGACACAGTAGAGATGTGTCTGGATGATAGTAAAACGACAGTTGTTCACGGTAGAACCGGAAGTACCACCGTTAGGCAGCGATACACATCTAATTCACAATGAGTTACAAACGTAGTAAAGCAGAAACGTAGGAAGCACTTGGAAATCTAGAAGATTATTGTCAGCAATTCGGGATTGAAACTCCGTCAGCAACAGTCATGCATCAAACACTCCCAGCAGACACTCCGGGGTTAAAATTCACAGCGTGAACCTTGATCTCATTCAAACGGAATATCAGTCATAGGAGAAGAATTTGTCAGCGTGATCACACAGACAAAAAGAGAAGCATTGAAATTAAAGATTGGACAAAAACAGACAAAGACAGATAAAGATAGTTGAGTCAACGGATGACAGGCGAATGTCGAGACAATGATAAGCAGTCAAATATAAGAAAACACGATAATAAATACGAAGTTAGCTGGAATGTCTAGAGAAATGTCAATAATAAGATTATATTGGTTGAGAGATGCGTTCCCCAAACAATCGCTCCGTTACACTCACTAATATCAGACTCTTATATGTCGCTCGGTCGTGAAAAATGTACATTGTTTCCATGTCCCATTATCTCTCTGTCTGTTATATCCCCGATTATTAACACTGAGAAAATTGGAACAAGACATAGGCGAACAATATGGTTTTGTCTATTGAGGAACTACTTTTTCACGACAGTATTAACATTTCTCAGTCTCATTATCATCCGATACAAAATGAAATTGGTCAGATGCCTCACAAATAGATCAAGAATAATGAGTACCAATAATTCCTTAGAAAAACATCACGATACACAAACAGCGCGCTAGGTCGAATCAGCTATACCAGTTTGTGTGAAGACATGTGAGAAGACACATGAGTACTGTGTTTGACGATGCGAAATCCACGCCACATTTTAGGAGTAAGCACTTTTCCTTGAGACGCAATTCATTGGGGGTCATGGCTAATGTAGTCTTTCACCCTAGACAAACTAGAACCATGAAACGGATTTATGCTGATTGTGTCATTCTCACTTTGACATCTATCACCCTATGTTCCAACTGTTCGGTTAAAATCGCTCCAGTTAAGGATGACCTAGCCATCTTGGTCTATCACTTCTCTATGCATTTTCAGGTTCAGCTGCTCGTGTGGAGAAACCTTCCCAATTGGAGTCCAACTAGAGCCAGATTTACACACTCCCGATGCAGAATCTTCTTCCGTGGTTCAAAAAACGGCCAAAGAGATTTTGTATGAAGCTCTGTCTCATCTCATTCGATCTATGATGGTGACGAAATCGATCAGTAAGTGGACGCATGAAGTAGCAGAAGAAGAAGAAGAGGAAGAGGCAGCTTCAACATTATCTATCTTATTCCACCGAATAGCTCGAAAGGAATTAGAAGCCACCACTTCGCATATAACCAAATCTCTTCGAAATTCGAGGGAATGTTCCTAGACTGTGTATAAAAAGTCAAGTTTGTTCTGGCATTTATTATTATTATTATTGTATCCTTTAATTCCTACAGGAACATAGGGCCTCAGCCATGCATCTCTATTGCGTTCTAGTCTCTGCTAGAGTTCTCATCTGGCTCCATGTCTGCCCACACGTTTTTATCTTCTCTTCACATGACCTCCTCCAAGTCACACTTGCACTGACGACCAGCTCGCCGCTTCCCTTTCGGGTTCTACTCGAGCAATAGCTTGTCTAGTGATGTCACTTGATGGTTTCCTAAGAGTATGGCCAGCCAATCCATCTCCATTTTTTCCTGCCTATTTGTTTCACAACTGGTTCCTGGTTGGTTCGCTCCCAAAGATCTCCGTTGCTGATCTTTTCTGGCCGGCCATTTAATCTTGAGTATTGAGCAAAGACAACTGTTAATGAAGGTCTGTAGTTTGTTTGAGATGCTGTTTATGACGCGCAGTGCAAGTCTCTGATCCGCACAGTGAGTAGCACTGACTGACTTCACGTTGGAGTTGAAAATCCGGATGTTATTTTTTATGCTGAGTGTTGTTGGCCTCCACACAGACTTGAGAGTAGTGAAAGCTTGTCTTGCTTTTCCGATTCTTGCTTTGATATCCTCGTCAGTTCTGTCCGCCTGTAGTTGAAACGATGCTTCCGAGTTAGGTAGGTAAAAGAGGTTGTTTCTTTCAGGTTCCTCCCATTTACGCTGATTGTTGTCAGTTGTTGTTGTTGCTGTTGGTGGTGTTGCCAAGGAATCTTCATCACCTCTGTTTTCTCTATGTTCACCTGAATGAAGTCCTATCTTTGATGCTTCTTCTATCTCCAACTTGTTGCTTTTCATCACTTGCAAATCTTCCAGTTTGTGGGAAATCAGACATATATCATCGGCGAAGTCCAGATCCTCCAAGTTTCTTGTGTGAGTCCATTTTATGTCTGTTTCCTCATTGCCCGCCGCTGTTTGTCGCCTTATCCAATCTACTGCAACCAGGAAAATCATTGGCGATAGTAGCCAGCCCCTCAGCCTTGTCTTACTCCCGTCTTCACTTCGAAGGATTCCGTAAGTTTCCCGTTGTGGATTACTTGGCATGCAGCATTGTTGTACAACTGTTGGATGCCATGTATAATTGTCGGTGGCACCCCATAGTAGCGTAGTAATTTCCAAATCACCTCTCGATCGACTCTGTCAAAGGCCTTTTCAAAGTCGATGAAGTTGAGATAAAGAGGTGACTGACATTCCAAGCTTTGTTCTATGATGATCCGTAGTGTGGCGATCTGATCAATGCATGACTTGTTTCTCCTGAATCCAGCCTGTTCCGGTCGAAGTTTTTCATCCAGAGCATGTTTGATTCTCTCCAGGATGATGTGGCTTAGTATTTTGTTTGGGATGGACAGGAGCATATTTCCGCGCCAGTTCTTGCATTGACTAAAGTCTGGATGAATCGAATTGAAACCTCACAACCACTTTCACTCTTCATTTCTTTCGCACTTCTGCAACTTTTATTTAAACTCCGGTTATCTATCACTTCAACTGTAGTACTAAGTAACTTTCAATTTTATTGGAGTTCGACCCAATTTATTTAATTTTTGAATTGCTTACATTACCATGTGATGATCTTCATTATTATTATTATTATCGTCCTCTGACACCTTTACTACTTCTAATTTTCATCAGTTAACCTGCTGCCATTATTATGATGATTATTCGCTTGGGTTCCTGCTGAAACGTACGATCTTGCCTTGTTCTCTCCGGTACTATTCAATCGGTTTCAACTCAAGAGTCTCGAAAGCTGTGTAAACCAACCTATGGTCAATAATCTTGAAGTTTATTTTAGACCAACTGTAGCATTTAGCATTCTGAGTAGATGCCGATCAACGAATGGACACATATTAATATGACATTATTCTCATTGACTCGTTAACTACTACTAATACTTTGCCTGGTATCATCGATTAGGCAGTATCATGTCAAATATGCATGTGTACTCAGCACCTAGAAGAACTGGTTACTTCCCCCACCGTTAGTTCTTTCGAATCTGATGTAACAGAAGCCGATAGCGTAAAATAATCGTATAGTAATCTCAGGTTATATATAATACGTGAATGAGTGTATTCTGTGAATTTGGAAACTTGTGTACTCCATTCGAATTCGCTAATAAGTAAAATATTATCGAACATGCAGGAAATCTGAAATACACTTGTACAGTTATTGCAAACACAAAGCCTGCATAGGTGAGTAGGCGAGTCAAACATTATGCCGAAAACCCTCTTCCCAATACACTGAAAATATTCAGAGCGATTGTAATCAAACGTCTGTTGACGTAGACATGTTTGTCTCTTTGCAAGCTTTCCACCTGATTTTAAAAAGGTAATGGCCTGAAAATACACATACCAATCTTCCCAAATCTCGTAGACAATGTCTCCACTCTCTTCAGATTGAGTTGAGGTCTGTAGGATATTTACTGTGTTCGTCTGGTAGAAGTCTTCTCGCCTTATGTTGACATTCTTGTGATATTACACGCTGCGCCTAATCACCAGTCCATTAAATGCTAAGCAGTCTGCAAACAGTTCTCCATTCCAATTTATTTCTCTCTTCAGCTTCCGACAATTTGTATGAATGACAGGAAAGAAAACTGATGCGCTCTGCCGTTTATGTGGAATAAAGACAGCGCTATTGTGTTATCACTCATAGAAATCCCGTTCATAACATGGAATTCGCCAAAAAGAGAGTCTGCTGAACTACTTGTCTTTTGTCTACTAATGTCCGAATGGGAATTATTCACGAATTAAAAAGTTGCAAGGATCCCTCGACAGTCAAGGAACTCAACGGGTTTCTACGGTACTCTGTCAAACTTGCGATAGTGAAAGCGAAAATGTCTTTTTTCAATGATTGTATCACCAATCGCTAATATCCAAAGTGTCTTTGGAAAGCATTGAGAAGAAGCCACATATATCCTAACACAAAATCCCTCCAACGACATGCGTTGAATCTTATTGACTCTATTAAAGCCCGTATTCCAGAACTACAACGCAACATTTCACAAAGGTCTCCAGCCCTCCACGATCTGCTACCTAGTGAAACCCAGAGGTTTACGGAATATGTCAATACAGTCACTGAAAAACGAGCACAATTTACTATTTCCCGACTCACCAAAAGCCTCAAATCCATCAAAGCACACAAACAATTTCCTGAAGACCCTTCGAAATTCGTATTCAACTGCTCTTCAGTAGCTTTATCCAACCTACAGTTAGAAGCCCTATCCATGGGTCCAAAATTCTGCGACGTCAACTTAAACGCCAACAGACTCCACTCATAGAAATCCCGTTCATAACATGTCTGACGAATGCTTTCATCGAAGGTATTTTGCTAACCTCGATACACCTATG